TTCTTTCTCTGTCTCTTTGTCGTCTGAAAAAAGTAGGGCTACTGATTTTTTTGAGTTTATCTTGTGTCCTGCTAGTTTGCTGAAGGTGTTAATCAGCCCCCTGGTAGAGTTTATTGGGTCTCTTATGTAAACTATCATATCACCTGCAAATAGAGACAGTTTGACTTCTTCCTTTCCAATTTGGATCCCCTTGATCTCCTTTTGTTGTCTTATAGCATTAGCTAGAACTTCTAGTACGATATTGAAGAGATATGGAGAGAGAGGGCAGCCTTGTCTTGTTCCCGATTTTAGAGGAATTGGCTTAAGTTTCTCTCCATTCAGTTTGATGTTGGCAGTTGGTTTGCTGTATATTGCTCTTATTATGGTTAGGTATGTTCCTGTTATCCCTGACCTCTCCAAGACCTTTATCATGAAAGGGTGATGAATTTTGTCGAAGGCTTTTTCTGCATCTAGTAAGATAATCATATGGTTTTTCTTTTTCTGTTTGTTTATATGGTGGATTTACACATAACATTTTAAAAGACAAATTGTTTTCAGATTTTCCAGTAGGGTAGCATTGATAACATCAATGGAAGACAGGCAATACTGTATCCTTCCTAAGTCTTTTTAATGAATTAATTCCCCCAAACTACAACACTTAGAGAATGGTAGACATAGTGGACAGTGTTGCGTGATTTCAACCTTGGCCCTCTTACTTACAGTACTGAAAGGTTAATTTTTCCAACTGCTAAGATCAGATGATTGACAGTTCTCAACTGAGTCTTCTCTGGGAGAGTGACCTTATCTTCTTTGACATTCTACATCAACAAACTAAGCATGGAGAACATGAGGGACTGGTCCTCTTACTGCTTCATGGCAACACTCAGCTCGAGAGCCCCAGTAGGACAGCTCAGTTCTTTCCTGTGACTGTCTTACCAATCAGTTTTTCCCTCTGCCAATCCTGCTCCTTCCCTCAACCCCCAGTAAACTTCTGCCCGCATATGTTACCTGTTTCCCAAGGAGCCTGACCTGCAGTCCTAGGTACTCCACAATGCTAAAATGGAACAGAACTATAGAAATATGGGATAACCAGAGAGGGGAAATTTGTTTATCAGCACTGCTCAATGTGTCTCATTAACTCTGAAGCTTTTCTAAGGAACCCTAGTGAAAAGTCTGGCAGAATAACAGCTGGGTGCATCGCAGCCTATTCTCACCCTGGCAGAAGAGAAGGTGAGGTCTCAGAGATGCTGCTGTGGTCATGGTCTTTCCACAGACTCAGATCCCCCCCCCCTTCTCCATATTAAGCACCAACATGGCATGTCATTTGAAAGCTGGTGCTATGATGCCCTAATCCCAGAAAATACTGTCTTCCAGGATTTGACAGTCACTTAAGCCAGTAGATTCCTCATATTGATTAATCTGTTTTGTTGAGTTTTCTAAGCAACTCTGAGAGTCCTAACACAGGTCCACTTTTGACTTCTTCCCATATTTAAAGATTGACAGGTCAACCAATGTCATGTATTTTTTACCACACATTCTTCATTTTTAATGCATGAATATATATACATGTGTGTGTTCCATGTGTGGAAGGGTCATACACACATGTGTGTGCATGTATGTATTGGGGCCAGAGGACAACTTCAGGTGTTATCCTCAAGAGCCATCCACTTCCCTTAAAGTAGGGTCTCTCATTGCTGGAAGCTTCCTAGCTAGACTAGACTAGCTGGCAAGTGAGCTTGCAGGCTCCCTGTTTCCACTGCCCTAGCACTGGGAATACAAGCACACACTACCACACTCACAATTTTTTCTAAATAGATTCCTGGGGTTAAACTCACTTATTTCATCAAATGGAGACATAGCCACAGTCAGTGTTTACCCAGAGAATGTACTGGATAAATTAGTTGGTAGAGTGAGCCTGTGTGTCTAAGTCAAAATAATAGAGATGAACACATAACCATGGGTGAGGTGAGCTCCTCATAGAGAAGTTTCCAGAACACATGTTGCAGTTTCTGGAACAGCAGGAACACTTGGCTAATGTTACTGTCATTGCTTTATTCCCAGTTACTATTGGAAGATACTGTCATCAAGGGCTTCTGATCTAACAGATGTCTCGGTGGTTAGTTCCTCTTCTTCACTGAGCAGCTAAATGATACTAACTTGTGCCTGCCACTAAAGAAAAGCATAGAAGCCACTGCTCTGTAAATCTCTTGTCTTTGTGACAGAGTTTCTCTGTCCTCTTACTGACTGGTTTAGGAAAAGACAGAGTAGCCAGTGTTCATCAAGGCAAAAAGACAAGAAACCTTTGACCACCGGGGACTTTTTTTCAAAGGCTCCTTATGAAACAAAACTGAAAATACCAAACGTAATCACCTGTAATGCACCTCCCACATACATAAATTCAGAGATATTTTGACTTTGAAGCTGTACGTCAAGCAATCATTCCAAAGGTAAATACAAAATTTAATCTTTTGTCAGGCATGGGGACACACAGCTGTAGTCCCAGCACTCCAAAGGATGAGAGAAGAAGGTCACATGTTGGAAGCCAGCCTGGCTATGGAGCAAGATGCTATTTCAAAACATGAATTAGCGACTGGAGAGTTGACTCAAATTGGTAAAGTACCTGCTGGACGAGGATGAGGCCCTGAGTTAGAATCTCCTGGCACCCATGTAAAAAAAGCCAGAGTCACACATGGCTGTAACCTTAGCATACGGGACAGAGACAGGTGGACCCTAGGAGCTTGCTGACCAGAAAGTCTAGACAGTCAAGTACCAGGTTCAGCTGGAGACCTTGTCTTACAGATAATATAGAGAAGGGCTGAGCAAGATAACCCTGTGTTGACTCCTGGCCTCCATGTGTGTGTACATATGTGGGGATGAGCCCACACTCACACATACACAGCACCATGCACATTTACAAAGAAGTTAACATCTTTTCTTATTTCTCCCCGAAAACTGAGTAACTTGAGAAAGTAAAAATATTTTTGAAACACAATACAAAACCTACCATAAACAAACAAAGATATCCAAGTAGTTTGTTCACAATAAAGATCCTGCCCAGGTAGAAGTCTTGAGAGAGACACCCAGAACAGACTCTTCAATGGCTCCAGTCCCCCCAGAGTCCCAGTAACTGCAGCTTGTTCCGCTAGCATAATGAACTGTTTTCATGAGAACAGTATGAGGGCTGAGATGGCCTCTGACCACTAATTTACCATGAGTTCAGTCTCTAGTCTCCTACCTCTTGTCCCTGTGTGACAAAACATCCCGGGGGCATCCTACAGATTCCAGAATTACCCTTCCCTTCTAAAAATCTAACATTTTGGCCAGTTCACTCTCAAAACAAGAATTCTAATGTGATGGTTCAAGGGTTGGGTCATGTTGAAAGCACCCACTTCCATGCCTACATTTAATCTCTAGAAGCCACATGGCCGAGTGAGAGTTGACTCCCACGTGGTATCCTTTGACTTCCATGTGTACTGCTACATAGTATATGTATGCCCATACACATACACACGTATATAGCATAAGTAAATAAATGTAAAACTAATTCAACTCTAGAGGACACAAAGAAACTACTGTTAGACTAACATGGAACCTCTGTGTTTCCTATGGGCTATCTGTTCAAGAACTCTGTCCTCTGAGCTTAAGAGCTATTATCAGCTTACTCAAAATAGCAAGTTTGAGATCCAGCTTGTTGATGTAGAACAAGAAGGTCATCAGACCTCACCTAAAATCTTAACTGCTCCTTCATATGAGCACAGCTCGGGTGTGTGCACATACACATTGCCAGCTTTCTGTAATTTGGCCTCAGCTGCATGTGGTCTGGTGGTCTCAGGAGGCACTGGAGAACACAGAATGTGGAAGGTGAACTAAAGGGAACATTCAATCTACACAGCTGTTGGGAAGTAGACATCCATGCTGGGATGAGACTCTTGGGTGGTGCAGCTGCTTTGCAATGACCCATGTCCTGTAAATGGCCCCTCACCCATGCTGTAAGGAAATTCCAGTTGGACTATGGTATAACTGTTACTCTGAGCTGTCACTGTGGGCCACAGTTTATATAACAGCATGGCTGGTGACCCTTGAGTCTTTTTTCCATGGCTACAGCTTTCTTGGTGTCTACCAACTACGAATCTTGACTCCTCCCCCTTTATTCTTCAAGAACAACTGATAACATAGCTTTAAGATAGCATAGAGTGTTTATGAGAGAAATAAATAAACTCTGAGTTGAGTACAGGTGATAGCTTGTCTCTATTCCTAGTTTACAAAAAGGGTTCTCTCTGGCCTCTTCCTACAGTCTCTGACATGTACCCCTCGCTAGACCCATGGTGATAGGATCTGAGACTAATGAGAGCACTCAGTGCACAAGAGTGCTTGCTGTGCCAACATGAGGACCTGAGTTCAAACCCCCATCACTCATGTAAAAAGTTGGTTGTGGCCTTATGCACCTATAATCCCATCCTTAGATGCTGGGGGTGGAGACAGGAGATTTGCTGAGGTTAGCTGGCTGCAAACCTAGCTCCAGGTTCAGCAAAAGTGATAAAGCAGGACACTCAAAATCCTCCTCTGGCCTCAGTGCTCCCAGAAGTACACACATACACACACACGCGTGCGCACACACATGCTTGATAGACATGTTCTCCGCTCCCATTCTCCCACTTCAGCTAGCAAAACCACATTTCCCCTGTGGCTGTAACCCCCATGCAGCATCGCTTCCTGAAGTTAGCCTGCCCATCATTAGGTAAAACATGAGGCTTGCAGCATTTGCTGGCTCCTGCGTTACTGCTACTATGTATCCCATGTCTGATTTGTCACAGGACATGCCAAGTGAAGCAGCCCCCCCCCAGTGTATCCACCTACCCTCCAGTGCAGTCTCAAAACAGTCACATCCAGGTCACTTTCCCTTAGGCTCTCCCCTCCCCTCACCCTCCTGCTATCAACAGGGAAGCATGCCCACTCAGAGCAGTGACATGACAAGTTTCTATTCTACAATGCAGGAAACACTACAAGTTTTGTTTCTTAAAAAAAATTCTTTAATAAAGTCTCACCCCCTCATCTTGAAGGTGTGAGATGTGAATTCCAGAGCTCATGGCCTTACTGGCAGCTTGGAAATAGAAGGGACTGCTGTCCAGGAAGCAGTCTATGGCCCCATGTGTCTTCCTTCTCCTGTCTCTGAATGTCAATGGTCTGGCACCCGAGTACCCTGAGTCATTGCTTATAGGCTGACAAATATGCAGGAAGCCAGCACATGGGATTTTGCACACTCTCCAAAGCCTGTTTTGTTTTGTTTTTAAATGGGTGAGGGAACATAATTGATGATATATTTTGTCCATGGGGTTCACACCAGAAAGCCAGAGCAGTGAGCAAGAGGTGGGTGAGTTCACTATGAGAGTCACTAAACACTTTATGCTGGGGGAGCTGTTTGTTAATCAAAGAATTCCCTGTTTGCTTATTAGGCATCAAAATCATTAAGAAGTCCACTAAAACAGGACAGTGCTAGTTTAAAGCTAAAGGGGATGTGCTTGTAGAGGCCTGGTGCTTAGGTTCTACCTTGAAGGAAGCCCTGACACAGACGTGAGTTACAAGACTGAAAGAAGACTTGGGAGCCCAGCTTGTCTCCCAGGTGTTGGGTGGACAGAGAAAGGGGACCACAGGTACTGGTTTCTTGCTAGTCATGATGTGCAGAAATGAGGGCTTGTCTGACTGCAAGCATCCAGGACAGCCAGGCACGCTACACAGGCTGGTGGGAAAGGGCGGAGAAAATGCCAACGAAGAAATATGCCCAGGCTGCAGTATCCAAGAAGCTGAACGAGGAATCAAGTTGGGGTTGCTGAGAAAGGGATGGAGGACAAACACCAAAGTGTTTCCTTGTGTCTGTTTCTTCCAGCAGGAGACAGGCCCCTGAACAAGCAGCCTACGATCTCTCAAACACTTTAAGGTTTCCATCTTGCTGATGCATGCTGTCCGAGTCCTCCATGCTTTCCAGCCATTTCTAGAGCCATGGGAAAAACCATCTCTAGCTTCTTCGGGTGACTTCAGCTTTCCACAGAGTAAAATCTACAGGGACAATTTCAGATCTTCCATCAGAACCACTCCTTCGTTCCAACGGTGGAGATCAGTGGACTTAGGTGTTTTGAATATTCATCTGAAATCAGTTAGGATGGAAATTTCAATTTTTCTGGCAATTATAAGTTTTTTTTTAAGTAGTCTCATTGGTTATGCTTTAAATTGAAAACTTTTTAAATAGTAAAGAATAAGATTGACACATGTGATGGTCAGGGTCAATTATCCACTTGACAAAAATCTAAAATTACCTAGGAGATGGATCTCTTAGCATGGCTGGAAGGGATGTTCTTGAGTTCACTGAGATGGGAAGACACACCCTGAATGAGAACATGCCATTTTATGTGCTAGGCTTGGACTGAGTAAAGGAAAGGAAACGGAGTAGAAACTGTGCACCCATTCACTGTTCTTCTATTCTGACTGTAGGCATAAGGTGCTCGACTCTCTCAAGGTCCTCACCCTGGTGGACCATTTCCTGGAACTGCGAACTAAGTTCACAGCTGCTTTTGCTGAGTTGCTTTTGTCTGAGTTTTTAATCAAAGCAATAAGAACAGACTCTAAGTCAGAAATCAGTACCAAGAACTGGGGTCACTGCCGTGGTAAACCCCACGAGGTGGTTCTTCCATCTTTGGAGGTGTTTTAAAGCTAGACTGTGGGAGTTTGGATCACCCCACCCCTGCCCTGCCTGCGCGCCCCCTGGATGGTGGAAGCAGAGTTTAATGAGCATCTGGTGGGATCATAGAAGGGGAGGATGCTGAAGAAAATGCCCAGCTCCTGGGGTTTCAGAGAGAAGCAGGGACTCTATCAGGAACGAGCTGAGGACCATTTGTGTGACATTTGGGACAATGATCTAGCTTCATCCTGCCCATGTCCCAAGAACCTGAGTGAAGCTAAATTGAAAGAGTATGAGCTGGTTTGTTTGACAGAGGGCACTTTAGGACAGGGGAGTGCCCAGGGTGCTAAGAAGGGCAGCTGAGATTGTCAAAGGGACAATTTATAATATAAAATTAATTCTTTTACTTCTAAGCATGTGGATGTGTGTGTCTGTGTATTAGTATGTGCTGGTGCCCACAGAAGCCAGAGGCCAACACTAGAGTTGAGAGCCACCATCATGGGTGCTGGGAACCAAACTGAGGTCCTCCACAGACCAGCAAGTGCACATAACCACTGAGCCTCCTCTCCAGTCAGATTAAGGTACAGCTGGTCCTAAATAGTGAGCAACAGCTCTCCTTGGTGTCCTCTCCACCCTCTCCTCCCCCAAACAACACTGTGAGTCTGAGAAGGCAGGACTGAGAGAAATAGAAGGAAATAGAAACATCTGAGAACACCAGAAAGAGCCCCTGGGGAGAGGTCTTCATTTCTGGAACTGTTCTAAAGGAGTTTCCAGAAAATTTCTGATGATTTCCCGGTGCTACAAAATAAAATTAGCCTAAGAAACAAACAAAGAAATAAGATTAAACAAATAAATGAAATGTCCCCAACAGTGCCTGGCACACACAAGATTCATAGCAGATATCAGTTCCTCCCAGGATAAGGGTGTGAGGGCCTATGTCAGCTATAGTGAACAGATGTTACACATCCCAATCTTCCAGAAACTCACAGTCTTCTTAAACAGGGCCACAGAGTGAGGAAGGCAGGGAAGAAGAAAAGTAAGTGCATCTCTGTAGGTGACTCTTCCTGCACTCGGATTCTGCAGCATCTTCAAGCAGACATAGGTTTGGGTCTTATGCTATCCATTACTGCTGAGATGACAGCACCTGCAGCCTTTGCTCCCTCCACCAGGGCATGCTCCACCTGCAAAGCACAGTGGTTCACGGGACAGTGGGTACCAATTTCAAGCTGGCACCCTCCCTTGCTCCCACCCCTCCCATCCCCCTCAGGATCCAGCCATCCTGGAGTCTTTTCCTTTAGGAAGGGAGTGCTATCCTCCAAAATCCCTAAAGTTTCCAGAGACCCAGCGAAGGGGGCATCTGAAGACAGGCACCCAAGGCAGGGCAGTCTCCCTTTCCCCAGGCCATGGAACCTCTAACCTTTTTCTTTCCCAGAAGTCATTCAGCATAGGATCTGCCTCCAGACTAATACATAATGCAAAGGATCTCTACATGGGATAGGCTGAAGCTACTGAGGCCCTCATTCAACAAAAAGGGCGTGGGCACAGCTGCACATGAATCAGTATTCGCACTTAGTTCAATCTCATGGCTCCTGGATCACTGATCTCCACTTGGGGGTCTTTATTCACATGCAAATATTCATGGGATGGAGATCCTTCATTCTGGAGCTCACTAAGCTCCTAGCACAGTCTCTCAAGAGCAGAGCACAGCAAGCAGAGGACACAGAGTGGAGAGGAGGATGCCAGAAAACAAAGTGGACAGAGGGGATGGGGACAATGGGGAGATTTGACCCCACTCTGTGCAGAGAACATAAAAGTCACAGGAGAGGCAAAAACAGAAAATGGTGCCCCACCTTTAATTCTTGGGGTTTGGTTTTGTTTTGTTTAATTTTACCTATTGAACAGGAGTTACACCTTCCCTCTGCCCATGAAGTTTTCTAATAAGGGCCAACTATTAATGAGAACAGCTTAAATTGTTACAGGTATCTGGGCTTCAGGGCTCTTTTGCGAGTGTCGTATGTTATCACTGGCCTGTCTGAGCTAGGCAGGTAACAGGGCAAGAACTGGAAAATGGCATATCTATGCCCAGCATCAAAGATGACCTGACAGATCCCAGCAAAGCACGGTGAGGAGCCACTGAGGGCACTCAGGAACACACCTGCTGGCTCCTGGGCACGCCGTATCTAAGGTCATTGACAAAGTGCTCACAGTTCCCTTCGATGAGACTATACTGCACTATCTTGTTGATCATGTTTCTTGTGCGCTGCATGATCTTATCCACGGGGAGGGGCAGGTATATCCCATCCAGCTTGTTGTTGATCTTCCAAGAGCAGCCGTGCAGCACATCCTCCAGCCGGCTGTACTTCACCACAGCACGGTTGCTGAAGATAGATGTGATGCTGCCCACCTCAAACTCCTCACCTGGGGAACAACAACAAAAGTTGGGAAACCTCAAGGTCAGGGTATGCCGGCTCTTCCTAAGATCTTGTGTAACCTGCTTACTGTGAAGTTCTCCATCAAACCATCCGTTTGGAGTATGGCGGAGGAGAAGGGATTGGATTAAATGTACCATGGAGGGATACTTTTCTTGGGGATGAAGGCAGGGCGTGCCCACATATGCTGGTGTGCATGAATGTATGGAGGCCAGAAGCCAAGGTCGATTATCTTCCTTCATCACTCTCCATCTTATTTTTTGAGACTGGATCTCTCACTGAATGAAGAGCTCACCTATTGGCTAGACAGGCTGACAAATGGGCTCTGGGGATCACCTATCTCTGCCATACACAGATTTTAGCATGAGATCTGGGGATCTGAACCCAAAATCTCATGCTTGTGTGGGAAGCACATTATCAATGAGGCAGCCCCACCCAAGTAATCTTTTGCCCTGAGTTACATGCCCTGTTCGGCTCCAGAAGAATCTCGTTAGTAACTCTAGAAATACCTTATCACATGGCCCTGGACTAGACTGTGTTGCCCTGACCCTGTCTTAGAAGCTGAGTCTCATTTCCTAAGCAGATGTAAAGAATCTCCACCATCTGTATGCCACTCCCTGGTAAGGCTCAGTCATGGGCATGATAGCAGTGATCCCATAGCATGCCCTCCATCTGCAAGGAAATAGTGAAGTCACATATTTAGACCTCTGGTGCCTACACTACCACCATCCATGCAGAGCCACTCTGTGTTCATTACCAAGGAGGGGCTCTGCAGATTCAGAAAAAAAAGAAAACATTAGAAAGTTGCTACATTCTCTCACACTCAGTGTTTAGAAGACATGGAACCTGTCTAAGGCCACATGGGTAGACATGAAATATCATCTACAAGGCAGAATTTTCAATATTCCCATCAAAAAGAAATGACAGGTGGGGTGGGGTGGCTCAGTGAATAGGGCATTTATCCCACAAACATGAAGATAAAAGTTCATATCCTCAGAACCTATGGGAAAGCCAGGGAAGAATGGGAGCTGCTCTAACCCCAACACTTAGGAGGTAGAAATGGAGATCCCCATGGTTATCCAGAATTGGTAAGCTATAAGGTTCAGAGAGAGTGATCAAGAAAGATGCCTGATATCAAGATGTCTTTTAACATGATGACATTTCAGGCCTCCACATGTGAGTGCAAGAAGACATGCATGCACACAGAGACCATTATAAGCACTTACACATACAAAGAAAGGGAAACAATATTAGAGGATATGGATATGCTAGCCACCTGTGTGTGGTCATTGCAAAGCAGTCTAAATCACACTGTATCTCACAAACATCTACCACTACTGTATCAATTAAGGACAGGACATTTTTAAAGATTATTTACCCACAAGAGCCACCTGGAGGGTTGCACACAGTATGTGTGTCTCTTTCCAAGTTTTCCAGGAGCAAAAAAGAAAAAAAAAAAATATGTCCCTTATTCTATTCCTGTGTGTTACAAGAAAATCTACTGATTTCCCAAAAACTAATTTAGCCCCATTAACAGCAGCCCTACTTTGCCCTGCGGTGGTCACAGAAAGAGGTGAACTATGGAACCACTGTATCATGAACAGGCACAGAGATGTCATCTTAAAGAAGGGGCTGGTGGGAGGGGATCGCTGCTAACCATCTCTTTAGCGATACAAGTGGGGTGTTTCCCACACAGGCTACAGGAAAGAGGTGGGGAGGGTTTTCTTTTTTATATCATGTTTTAGTGTTTTTACTTATCCTTTGAAGAGTTCATACAATGTATTTTGATCATATTGTTTCTCCTCCTATGCTCGTCCCAGATTCCCCCCTCACTTCTTTGATTAGGCTCCTGGACGGAAAATGGAGACAGGAAGTGGATGGACTGAGAAGAAAAGGAACAGGAAAGGGATTCTACCATGGAGGAAAGTCCTGCCAAGGTGGGAGATGGAGCCCAAGGGAAAGCCTGCAGGAATCAAGGCTGAGAATCAAAGACCTTGGCAGTGACCTTCTGTGACTCCATTTTGAGCCAGCAGAGCTGCGTAGGACACTTCAAAAGACATCAAGTCACCCCTCCCCCACCCCTCACCATGCTCCCCCCCCCCCCGGGACCAGACTCCTGAAATGGCCACTACAAGCAATGGTCCTAGACCACATCCAATTTTAAGTTGTTTATAACAATTATCTGTAATCTCCTATTATTTTCACCATCTGGTCGTTCATCAAATCTCCTCTTCGCTTTAGAAAGCCTCAAGTCCAGTCAAAACCATAGGACATGGAATAAGAAACAAGTAAGCATTTAGGTAAGGCAGCCTAGAGCACACTGGAACATCAGGAAGGCAAAGGCTTCCACCTCAGGAGGAAGGTGACAAAAGATGGCATGGACGTAAGTGGGAAGCAGCAGTTAGGACCAACAGAAAACAAGTGATGTGGGAGCGGCTACCTTCCTTGGTGTCTTTAGAAACGTGATGAAGGATGCCAGATGACTGACATCAGAAACAGGAGTTGAAGGGGATTTTAGAGACATTCTACACTCCTGCCATTCTTAGCGCTAGATACCTGGTGCTTACTAATAAACAAATAAATGTCCGAGAATGTTTATGTGCTAATGGGCAGTGGCTGAGGACCACAGTGACTGACTGTCCTTCTGTTTACCCTGCTAACTTCCATAGCAGTATCTCAATAGTGTATCCATTCTTACTATCCTTCTGTTTACTCTGCTGAATCCATAGCAGTATCTCAATAGTGTATCCACTCTTACGGTCCTTCTGTTTACCCTGCTAACTTCCATAGCAGTATCTCAATAGTGTATCCACTCTTACTATCCTTCTGTTTACTCTGCTGACTCCATAGCAGTATCTCAACAGTGTATCCACTCTTACTTGGGGGAGCCAAATGAACCACACAATCATCTTCCACGTAGATGGCCCAGTGTTCATAGCCAATTCGAAAAATCTCAATCAGGTCTCCAGGTCTAGGTCTTGGTTTGTTCTGTGATAAGAAGAAAGAGAGAGACAGATAAAATGAACATGTCCAAGGAACTCCAGAGCCACAGGCCAGCCTGTTCATAGGTCATCTCACCAGAAGACCACAGAAGACCCTGACAAAATATTGGGGTTGTCTGTGTTGGTGATCAGTCTGTTGACTTGTTGTATGATATTTTGTTTGTGCTCTGACAAATAAATTTCACCTGGAGTCAGAGGGCAGAGCTAGCCACTAGTTGACCAGAGAGGTTTGGAGGACTGTAGACAGAGAGACAGGAAGTGACAGGTGGGCTGGAGAGAGGATCTGGGCCCTTTGGATGAAGGAACTGAGAGAGGAAGGAAGCACCTGGTGGCTGCTCCCAGCTCTCTGATCTTCCAGGTTTTTACCCCAATATCTGACTCCTGACTTTTTATTGATTAAGGTTAATCAAATTAATGCTTCATCTGGCATCCAACTTTTGGGGCATAAATTCCATTTGCCCATGGCTTCATAGCCACTGGCACCCGCTGGAGCAGCACATGGCAGGGCTGCTCCCAGTGGAGACACTGCAGTGCAGGCTCCTTTCCCTTTATCCCCAGCGAGTCTCAGATTTGCTGTTGTGACCTCTCTGAAACAGTCTCCAGTTGCCACCCAAACTCCAGAGGCATCTGAGTTCCAAAAGCCCCTGGACTTATCCTCACCGGCTGGTTCTGCCTTCAGGCAGCTCCCACCACCCGTGTTTCTTCAACACCATCCCCTGTGTGCGTTTTTAGACAGCTGGCTCCCTCTCCACAGTGGGTGGTGGGATTCCTGAATCCCCCTCCTCGGGATGCTGCCACACTAGGTAGCTGACTTGACACCCACTAAGGTTTCTACTGCTGCTGCAACCACCACACACTCTTAGCTCACAGCTACGCATGCACTAGCAGCTGCAGCTGTGCACTGCCTGTGCTATGCAGCTCACACATCCCTGTCACCAGCAGCGGACTTGGTGAGACAATTGGGAATTCTTAAAGGGGGGGAGATCGTTTTTTGTTTTTGTTTTTCTTTTTTTAAAGAGGTTTCCCCCCATGTTAAAAAATGGGAACCATGGGCTGGAGGGATGGCTCAGGGATTAAGAGCACTGACTGCTCTTCCAGAGGACCTGGGTTCTATTCCCAGCACCCATATGACAGCTTCACAATTGTCCGTAACTCCAGTTCCAGGGGATCTGGCACCTTCACACAAACACACATACAGGTAAAACACCAATGCACATAAAAATAAATAAACCTTAAAGAAAAAAATGGGAAACACTATTACAATGAAAGGAATTAGATCTCTGTATGATTACACAATGGATTGTTTAAAAATGGAACAATTAAAGAGGGAGCTCATGGACTCCAGTCTGATAGCTGGGAAACCAGCATAGGACCAACCCAGACCACCTGAATGTGGGTGTCAGTTAGGAGGACTTGGCAGTCTATGGGGCCTCTGATAGTGGATCAATATTTATCCCTAATATATGCATGGACTTTGGGAGCCCATTCCACCCTAGACACATGGGGTGGGCCTAGGCCATGCTCCAAATGATATGACAGACTTTGAAGACTCTGCATAGAAGGCCTCACCCTCTCTGGGGAGCAGAAAGGGGATAGGATTGGGGGGGGGGAGACAAGGGAGGACAGGAGGGTGAGGAACTGGAATTGACATGTAAAACAAGCTTGTTTCAAATTTAAATCAAAAAATTATCTTTAAAAAATGAACAATTAAATGAGGAGATAATTAACTTAGATGGGATTTACTTAATGTCAATATAAACATTATCTTATAAACATCAGTTTGATAATTCTTGTTTTATCCCGAAAATAGTCGGTTGATATGAGTGCCAAGATGCAGGCCTTAGAAAAAGTTACTAGAGAAAACAATGCCGTTTGACTAGTAATTACAAACTGTAAGAGACATTCAGACAAACACAGAGGAATTTAAAGGATAACCAACCTCAGCATTACATTATAAGGTTACAGAGGAACAGCCCAATATTATCAAACAATCAGCTTTAATTTATCCAATCACCTTACAGAAACAACTACCAAATGACAGGTATCCCCAACGCTGTGTAAGAGCTAACTGGACTCCTGAAGCTGTCAGATTTGAGGGGATTTAAGGAAGTGTGTGTGTGTGCATGCATGCAAGTGTGCGTGCCTGTTTCCCTTCTTTGGGATTTTCTGGTGTGAGATTATTGCCTCTTCAGGAGATAAATGTTCAGCTATTAGTGTTTAGAACTTTATATCAGGCAAAACAAAGCATGAGATGGGTCAAATGTATGGGGTCAGAGGGACAAAGAGGAAAATTAAAGTCATATGTAGCTAACATAGCAATGAATTTATGGGAATGTAATTTCTTACAGCAATAGAATACCAAGACTGACATTCTTTCAATCTCATAAACAAACCATAAACTAATGTATGTTTCTGGGAAAATTATTAAAAGATATTATAAAGAACAGTCACTGACCATTCAGGTTATACAAAAACAGGACACAACAGCTCCATCTTTAAAATGGTTCACAGACAAACCTGTATGGGTGGAATTGTATGCGTTTTTCTGTGGCCATCAGAAAAAGAAAAGAAAAAAAAAAAAAAACAAAACAGGCCTTAGAACAGATAGCATAGGAGCAGCTAAGTGCTCAACATACTGGAGAATTGAGCAGTCCTTAGAATGTTCCTGTGTTAGTTATTAAAAAAAAAAAAAAGTCTGGAAAATGGAGAATGTTAACAGATTTGAGAGCCATAAATAATGTAATTCAACCAATGGGCTCTCTACAGCCTGGAATTGGCTTGCATTCTCTATTACCTAAATAATAGTCTATTAAAGTTATTAATTTAAAAGACTTTCTTCACTATACCTTTACAAGAAAAGGCTAGAGAAAAAGTTGCCTTTGGGGTGCCTACTTACAATAATTCTCAGCCTGTTAAGAGATATCAGTGGAAGACTCTCCCACAGGGGCTGTTAAACAGCCCCACCCTGTGCCAATATTTTCTTTTTATGTCTGTCAGGGGTTTGATAATTTTTTCATCATTTTTATTTAACTAAGGATATTAAACAGCCCCACCCTGTGCCAATATTTTGTACAACAGCCATTGGAAATAATTCATGGTTTCCTTAATCTATAATTTATTATTATACTGACAATATCTTCCTAGCTATTTCAAAACCTTACAGAAAATATTTGAAGAAGAAAAAAAATTACCTTATTGGGGATTTCAATTTGCTCCTGAAAAAAAAAAACACAAAGAAGAGATTCTATTGATTACCTAGGATATAAAATAGGTTTACAAAATAACATCAATCCCAAAATGTAAAAATCAAGAGAGATCAATTGCTGACTCTAAACGACTTTCAAAAATTGCTGTGAGACACTAACTTGCTACAGTCCACAACTAGATTAACAACTCAAGAACTGAATAATTTATTTCAAACCTTACAAGGTGATAAGGCCTTAAATAGTTCAAAAGAATTACCAGCTGAGGCTAAGAGAGAATTGGATCTGGTAGAAAAGAAATTACAGGATGCACATGCAGATCACTTGGATCCAGAGCTTGAGTGTATCCTGGTCATTTCACCTTCTACACATTCCCCTACAAGAATTCTTATGCAGAGAGAAAACAATGTCTTAAAATGGATATTTTTACCACACAAGCAGTAAAAAAATTAAAGACCTATATAGAAAACATTTATGAGTTGATTCTAAAAGGGAAATTGAGACTTCATCAATTAACAGGAATTGTGGTATCTTTTACTAATGCTGAAATTCCCTCTTTATGTGTGGAAAATGAACACTGGCAAAGAGCTTGCAGTAATTTTTTGGGAGAGGTTAACAACAAATGTCCCAAATGCAAGAGAATTCAGTGTATAAAGAGAGCTAAGTGGATCCTTCTGCTCATTAAATGGGGAACGCCATTTTCTGGAGTCCTTCAATTCTACACTGACGCAAACAAATGAGGAAATGCGGGTTATAAATCAGAAAATTTCAATAAACTAGCTCAAAGCCCTTATGATTCTGTTCAAAAGTCAATTATATGCTATTCTCATGGCATTATTAGATTTCTAGAACGTTTTAATATCGTTACTGACTCTCGATATGCAGAGAGAGTTGTTTTACATATTGAAACTGCTGGATTTATTCCAGATGATACATAACTGACTTTGTTATTTATTTAGTTAAAAGAAATAATCAGAAATAGAAATCATCCACTGTATATAACATATAATAGATCCCATACCAGTCTACCAGGCCCTTTAACACAAGGTAATGATGAAATTGATCATCTATTGGTAGGGAATGTTATTTTCAGATGTGTGGCTTTTGTTTATGCTGCATTTGTTTAACCCTGTGAAGCTGTGATTCCTTGTCTAAAACACCAGATGAGCTAATAAAGAGCTGAACAGCCAATAGTGAGTAAGGCAGGAGCCGCCCCGCCGCCGGCCCCGCCGCCCCGGTCATGGGGTAACAGTGGAAATATGGTATACAGAAGTAAGAAAGGAAAAAAGTCCAGATGCAAAAGGTAGTCAGAAGGTAGCCAGGGTAATTTAAGTTTAAAAAAAAAAAAAAAAAAAAAAAAAAAAAAAAAAAGCTGGCAAGCCAAGCTAAGGCCAAGCATTCCTAACTAAGAATAAGCCTCAGTGTGTGACTTATTTGGGAGCTGGGTGGTGAAGCCCTCAAAAAAGCCAAAAGAGTAAAATATTGCACAACAAGGAGTTTGCTAGAAGCCTCAGAATTTCATTTTAAAACACCATGTCAATAGAAAGGATTTGAAAAAGTATTTCCCATCACTTGGCAACAAGCCAAGGAAATGTTCTACTTATTCTTTGCACAACCAAACGACACCACCTGCAGGAAGTAACCCAAAGGGCACTAAAAGAAATGAAATTTGGCAAATGGACATGTTTCATTTTTCAGATTTTGGAAAATTAAAATATGTATTTCACACCATAGGTAGATACTCAGGATTTCAATGAGCAACTGCTTTGAGTTCTGAAAAGGC